CGGTGCTGGAGCCATCCCAAGGTCGCGCAGAGGAGGCAGAGCGTCTACCTGCGCATGAGGACGCATGGAGCGACGCCGTCGTACCTTGCCCGTGCCCGTGGGGCTCTCGAGGAGCGCGTTCTGCTTCGTCTCGAGGGCCGTGATGACCTTCTCCATGTACACGAGCTGCGACTCGTAGGGCGTGAAGGGGAAGCTCACGGGCACGCCGGCGATGCGGACCGTGGGCATGATGGCGGGAATAGATCCGAACTGCGAACGAACCAAGTGTAGCGCCCCAGTTAAGTGCGACACGGACTTGAACGAACGTTGGCGAAAGGTGTTTCACCTGCCTTTTGGCGCCATAATCTTCGACAAAACGCCGTCGCTCCGTTGCTACCGCCCTGGACTGCGAGGGATATAAGAGCAATGTTATTACGCCTATACTCAATGTAATAAAACCTCCTCTCGAACTCTGTGACGTGCCCGGAAGTGCAGTTCCCTTCAAGAGATCGCGATACCGATCAACTCGTGTCTCTGATAGCTCGACGTGCTTGCGCGGATGGCTATCCAACAGCAATCCATGCTCACTAGTCTATTTGAATCGACTCAACGTCGAGCGTATTCAAGCAGTGTATGTGAATATAGCGCTAAGGAAATAAGAGCAACTGTTCTTATTTCCTTGACCCACGTCGTCATCTCTCGTCGCTGCCGGCCAAACGGACCATGCAGCGCATGGGTCCTGTCGCATCGAGTTTCGTCGTCTACCGCATGTGGCACGTTTGCTTCTCGGTCTTGACCTTGACCAATGGAACTAGTATGCTGGGTCCGCCGGCGACGCGTCGGTCACGACCTTGTGGCCGTTGAGTGATGGTACTGTCATCATTCTCGCGTCCGTGGGCATTTTCGCGCTTGTTTCCCATGGCCTGCTTGCGGGCTACGCTCTCATCTCCATTCTTCCCTTTGCTTCCACGCAAAACATTGTTCCCAAACCAAGTATGTTCACGATCGGTCAAGCGCCCAACGACGCGGTCGTGTTCCTCGAGAAGGACCATCTCGACCGCGAGACGCTCAAGCAGATCGAAGCCATCGCGGCCCATGCCTCGGTCGCACACGCGCGCATCATGCCGGACGCCCACAAAGGCAACGGGTGCTGCGTCGGCTTTACGTGTCACTTGACGCCAACGGTCTTGCCGGGACTCATTGGTGGTGACATTGGCTGCGGCGTCGCGCTGCACCCGCTGCCGTCGTCTGCGATCGTCAAGAAGCAGTCGCTCGCGCGCCTCGATCGCATCATCCAGGAGGTCGTGCCCATGGGCAATGGCCACGACCGCGTGCATGCAACGCCGGTGATTGCGCCGGCGCAGTACGCTCCGTTCTTTGCCCAGGCGCAGGTCGACGCCGTCGCGTTCGTTGACGCCTTTGGCGCCAAGTTTCAGCTCGACCTGACGCCGCACATGCCCACGTACAACGACGCATACTTGCGCGATCTCTGCGCTCGGACGCGGTCCGACTACGACTACGACCTTTGCGCGCTCGGCACCTTGGGCGGCGGCAACCACTTTATTGAAGTCAACGTCTGCGAGGCGACCGAGGACGTGTACGTGGCCGTGCACACGGGATCCCGCAACATTGGCCAAAAGATTGCGCGGTACCATTACGAGCAAGCGGCGGGTGGTGACGCGCCGCAACAAACGCTGGGGCAAAGTGACGACGACGTCACGGGCGTCCAGCCGCAACGTGGCGCGCTGGCGGGTGCCGCGGCCGCGGCATATTTTTTCGACATGATTTGGGCGCAGACGTATGCGCGCATGAACCGCCGCGCCATCTTGTCGCTCGTGCTCGCGCATGCGACGACAGCGACCTATGACGCGACGCGCGTCATCGAGTCGACGCACAACTACATCGATTTCCGCGACCTCGTCGTGCGCAAGGGCGCGATTCGGTGCCACGCCAACGAGCTCTGTGTCGTGGCACTCAACATGCGCGACGGAATCCTTCTCTGTCGCGGGCGCGGCAACGCAGCGTGGAATTACTCGGGCCCGCATGGCTGCGGGCGGCTGCGGGCTCGCAAGCGCGCGGGGGCCGCACAGAAAGGGCATGGCGTCGCGGCCGCCATGCGCGGCTTTGTCGCCGAGATGGGCGACGTCTATTCGACGTGTGTCGTGCCAGCCACGCTCGATGAACGCCCGTCGGCGTACCGAGACGCAGATCTGATCTCGTCGGCGCTTGCGCCCACCGCAGACATCGTGGCTCATGCAAGGACCGTGCTCAACGTCAAAGGCCACTAGGTACGGTTGAATAGCGTCAAAGGTGCATTAGGGTCTATAACATGTGAAAAATCTACGAAACGTGAGGTGCTTATTGCTGGGCGGCGGGGCCTTGATGATGCCCACTTGCGCCGGCCGCAAGCAGCGGCTGTGGATCGAGTAGCCAACCTTCAAGAGCTGGCCAATGGTGCCAGGCGTCTTCGTCTCGTCCGGGTACTCGAACATGGCCTCGTGGAAGTTCGGGTCGAACTTGTCGCCGACCGCACCGATGCTGTTGATGCCATACGAGCCAAAGACCTTCTGCAACTCCTTGTCCGTCATGACGACGCCTTCGTGGAGCGACTTGATCGCGACCAAGCTGTGTTCCGGCGACATTTCCTCGAGCGTAATGCTCTCGTGAGCGCGCTTGAGGTTGTCCGAGACGTCCAAGAGGCTCTTGGCAAACTTGGAGATGGAGAATTCGCGGGCGTTGTTCACGTCCTGGCGCGAGATGCGGCGGACGTTCTCAGCATCCGCCAAGGCGCGGAGAACCTTGTCGCTGAGCTCGGCGTTCTTGGCCTTCAAGGCCTCGACTTCGGCGGTGAGAACAGCAACCGGGTCTTCGGGCGCAGCCTCTTCGGCGGCAGGCGCGGCGGTCTCGCCTTCGCCTTCCTTCTTCTCCGTCATCACATAGGACGAGCGGAAGAACGAGCGCTTGGCGCAGGCGGCCGTGATGGCGCGGGACTTGGTCAGGACGTGGCGGGCGAGCATGGTCTTCGGGTTGCTCCTGGAAAGAAAGTGGGGTCCTCCATCCCCGGTAATAGCTCATCAAATTAACCGGATTCACCGTAGTTTAACCGTTATGACGCCGTTGCATATTTTAATAATTTATTTTATCGGTATTGTTTTCTCATACATCCACATCATCTTGCATTTGGTATTTGACATTGGACATTGGTATTTAAAATAGCACTAAATTGAACTTCGTTTTATTCACTCTATGTGGACTGATGCTTGGTTGGTGCAGAAATTGCTCGTTCGGATTGGCCAAAAAGATTGTTCTAGAACTATCAAATCTCTCAAAGTGAATAGAATGCACGTATTGAATTATAAAGGTCATTTCAAGATCTTCGGATCGCGACGGTTCACTTCGACGGCAAACTGCCTCCTGGACACCACGATGACGAGCCGCGACAACAACAAGCAAATGGAGACCGACAGTACGTGCATGCAATTCCAAAGCGTAGGCGGCTTATGGCGCCCTCCATGTAGTGGACGAACATGGCGATATGAAGGTGGCTTCCATCACAGTTGACGCGCGCTAGAGCTGCTCTTGTAGAGCGACGTCCTCATGCAGGCAAGCATTGCCATGGAGCAGTACACAGATGAAAAGGACATTTCCAAGCACCTCAAGGTAGACAACTATCGCATCGAAGCACCGCTCAATGGTTCTACTAGCTGTGGCTCGAAGAAAAGTACGGCCCAACATGGCATTGCATCGTCGGGTCCGAGTACAAGGTGTCATTTACTTACGAGAGCAAGAACTTCATCAAGTTTAACGTCGGCAAGAAGTGCATAACGCTCTTCCGCCACAACTAGCGCACGTGACGCCACCATCTCTGTACATACCGTTAAGAATCAATCAGAAACAGTCCTTCCTCTTCGGCTACGAGCCTGCAGAAGCTTAAGCTGCTCATGGGAGGCCACGAGCTGCTACTTTGCCCGCTTGCCACCACCTCGGCGCCGGCATCGCGCCGCGCATCGCTGCGCAACTGGCAGTGATACCATTATGTTTTGGCGGCGGTGCAATTTTGAAGTTGAAGTCGCCACTTAAGTACAGATACAGCTGACATGCCCAGTAAAGTACGGTTGATGGTGCATTCTAACCGCTCGTTGGCGGCTGGCAAACCGTTAGAGCTCGGTGGCGGTCACTCCTCTGGATTCAACAAGATGTCGGTGGTGCTACCGGGACAGCGCTTGGGCGCCGTGAGCGACGCAACGACCGCGGGCGAAGGGACGTATGTGCTCAACGGAAGCATCTTCGCCTCCGTGGCGGGTACGTCGGCGACGGTCGGCAACGCGATCGTTGTCCGGCGGCCGGCCGGGAAGCGCATCGCGACCGACTATGTGCTCCAGCTTGATGACACGGTCATCTGCAAGGTCACGAAGCTCACGACGACCCAAATCTTTCTCGACATCCTCTCGGTCCGCGACGACGTCGTGCTCCGCGAGCCGTTGTCTGGCACGCTGCGCAAGGAAGACGTCCGGCCCATGGACATTGACAAGATTGTCTTGGAAGACCTCTTCCATCCCGGTGATATCGTCAAGGCCGCCGTGCTCTCGATGGGCGACTCGCGTGCGTACTATTTATCGACGGCCAAGCCCGGCCTTGGCGTTGTCATGCAAGGCTAAGGCGACGCGACACGAGAAGACATACTGCTATACACAAGTCCTTGCCAATACATACACACCTATGCGCGCTTAGTCTTCTAGCACTTGGAAACGTGGCACGTCCGTTGGCTCGGCTTCATGCGCCTCGTCATCATCATCATCATCGTCGTCATCGTCATCATCGTCGTCGTCTTCAATGATCTCGAAGCGCTTGAAGGGCTGCGACGTCGCCGGCGCAGGACGCACGTCCTCCTCTTCGTCGTCTTCGATGATCTCAAACCGCTTAAAGGTCGATGTTGTCGGCGCCATCGGTGGCGCTTCGGGCTGCAGCGTCCCGCCGCGCGTTCCATCCACTTCGAGCCACTTTTCCTCGGTCTTCTTCAGCAGCTTTTCAACCTCGCGGTTGGCGGGTTCGAGGACCAGCGCCTGCGTAAAGTCGCTGACGGCCTCGGCGTACTTGCCACGGCGGAAGCGCGTCATGCCGCGACGCGACCACGCTTTCGTGTACGTTGGGTCCAGCTGAATCGCGCTGCTGCAATCGTCCTCGGCGCTACTCAAGTTCTTGAGGCGGAGGTGGGTGAGCGCGCGGTTGGCATGGACAATCGCACTGCTCGGGTCGTACGCAAGGCTCCGCGAGTAGTACAGAATCGCTTCGTCGTTCTCGCCGAGCTTGAAGCACTCGTTGCCTTTGGTCTTCTCATGGAGCGCGTACACCTCGCGTTCGGTCGGCGTGAGGACGTCGAGGTCGACCGAGACGGGCATTTGAGCCTCCTTCACGCGGCGCGCGGTCCGCGCGTGAAGCTCGTCGCGTTGACGACGCGCGTCGTCTTGTTTGCGCTGCTCGGCCGCATCCAGCTCGCGCTCGGCCGCTTCGACGTCGTACTTTTCCCATGACCGCCAGTCGTACGCGGGAATCGCCTGCTTCTTCTTCGAGGTCGTCACCTCTAGAATCAACGGCGACGGCGGCGCGTTTGTCGGTGGGGCCCGGCCGCGCACCGCCGGGCGATTCCGCGGCGCCGCGATGCGCTGCGCTTCGACGTCGAGCCGTTGGAGCTTCTGCTCCATGGCGCGTTCCCATGACGCAAGTGCCGCCTTCTCCGAGTCAATGTCCGAGTAGGATGGCTGGGACTGGAGCCGCTCAATGCGGTCGCGCTCGGCCTTGGGGAGGACCTTGAGCAGTTGGGCTTCGGTCGCCCGCTCGAGCTGTGGGTACTTGCCTTCTTTGCCCGACTGGAGCACGGCGAGGATGTTCTTGAGCAAGTCCGCGTCCGTGCACTTGTCGACGTACTCGTAGTCGAGCATCTCGACGTCCACATCGCGCTTCTTGCGGCTGTGCAGCGAGAAGTAGTCGACCGCCGCTTCCGTGTCCATCATCTTGCTCGTGCACGTTGTTTGGTAGATCTTATTGTCGCTTTGGATCGTCAAACGTCGCCGTACCGTACCGTACATACTGTACAATCCAATACATTACTAGAGTTAAATACACCAAACGTACATCGTACAGAACCACTGAAAGGGCAACGTACACGCCCGGTATCTTGAAGGGGTGCGACTCGCCGCGGGTGAAGCCGCAGTCGAGCCTCAAAGCGATCTCCCATACCTGCTTATTCTCAGTGATCTTTGCTCAGTATATGCATAGCTCTTAAAGCTCTTGACGTCTGGGCTCATGTGATATCCAATTGATCCGTGCACAAGATTCTAGTATCCGGCGCTGACCACACGCCAACAGATCCACCATTAGACTCGACAAGGTCGTGCAGATTGATTCAACTCGAATTAACTTTCGCACGTCTTGGCCGAGCCCTTGCGTTTCACCTTGGTCGCTTGTGTGGCTTCGACGACCGCCCACTCGTCTTCGGCTTGTGCCCATGGGTCGAGCTGGGCGGCCGCTTTGTAATCGTCTTCGATGGACGAGCCGCGAGAAGGTCGCGTCGACGTCGACGACGCATCGTCGTCCATGTCCTTGGCGTCGGCGGCTGCGTCTTGTTGCGCCATCGCAGCCAGTACAAAGGGGCTCGTCGTGCCACACGCGTCACAGGCTTCGGCCGTAAGGGTGTTGCGAAGGGTGCACGACGGGCACTCCCACATTTCCAGCTCTCCGCTATCTTTCTCCATTCTGTTTTCAAATTTGATTAGTGACCCTGGCGTGGCGATGGGATCGACTTCTAAATTTACGCGGCGTGGCCGTTGACCTGTCGGTTGGACGCTGGACAAGACCGCATGACCCGCCATTTCTGATGGGACTCGAAGCATGCGTTCCAGATTCACAGACATTGGCATTTGCGACGCCGCACCACGTGGGATCAGATGCGGGAACAGAGCTCGCTCTCAGATGCTAGAATCTGGGCTGTGTCGTTCACATCGGATCGAAATGAACTGGAACTCTGGTTGTTGTTGTGCTTGAAGAAGAGAAAGAAAGGCGTCGCTGCGTTTGCAGCCGACGGACCATAAGATGTTCTTGTGGCTTGCCCTCGCGCGATCTTTGCCACTTCAACTTGGCGCTGATTGGCTAAATCCACGATGCAGGCTTGTGACGCGCCTAGGCGGATCCCCATTTGAGTCAGTTCGTTGACTGTTTCGTCACCGTTTCGGGCACGGTGATTGGTCCATGGCGGCTGCCAGTGACCTCCTAGCCAATCCAATGGCAGCATAGCGCCGCTGCGTCCTCCGATTGGTCTGTGCGCCTCTATTAGTAAAAAAAGGGTCCTGGAATAAAAAAGATCGCACGAGACACAGGCTTGAAGGCAAGGGCCCACGGAAATCTTTGAGCGACCCATTTTCGCATCTTCGCCGTAGCACGAGCATGACGCCCCGAACGCTCCCGATGATGGCGACGAGCCCGCTTAAGGACGCGATGGCGTCGGAGCTCAAGGGCAAGCCGGTCTCGCCGTACGTCAAGATGGCCGCGGGCATGGCGGGTGGCGTCGCCGAGGCGTGCTTGCTCCAGCCGCTCGACGTGACCAAGACGCGTCTCCAGCTCGACCGAACGGGGCAGTACAAGGGCATGATCGACTGTGGCAAGACGATCTACCGCACCGAAGGCGGCGCCGCGCTCTACAAGGGTCTCTCGCCATTCATCATGCACCTTACGCTCAAGTACGCGCTGCGCTTTGGCTCGTTTGCCAAGTTTAAGGAGCTCCTCGGCGCCGGCGAAGGCGTGAAAGCGTCTAACGGCAT